TAGCGTTTTGAGCCAGTGGAAGGACATAGCTTTCGGACCTCGTAATGTATGTATACATTTCTGAACCTATATTGAAGATGTATGCAGAGGTATACATTTTCGTTATTTTTTATGTCAAGCTTAATTTCCTGATTGCGTCACTGTGACAATTTTCGCTTATTTTCGTTGGAAAATTTTGACACTGCGGAGCTTGATTATTGCGAAAGATTCCTCTCTTCCTCTGTAATTAACGCTACTTTTTGCAAAAAGTTGCAAACTGGAAATTTTCATCAGCAGCCTACTCATTTGTCGTTCCAAATCTGCGCGAGTAGAATGTACAGTACCGGCCGAAAGTTTGGCACCACTTGTCAATTTACACCGATATTGAGACTCGTGTCAGATTTATTCCCTAACTTTTTTTCTGAGGATTCCTTGCTTAGCATTCAATGCGTAGTGGTCTCCACCATTTGGCCAGTAGTATATTCGAAAGTTCTCTCTGTTACACAATTAAGGGCTGAATTATTTCACGAGGGGATTGAAAATAAGTGTGAATTTCTGCAACTCTCTGGTAAAAACAATATCGTTGCATAATTTAGAAGAACGAAACCCAGTCCCTCGGAATATTTCAGGCAATTTTGCAGATAGCGATCACGGAGATAGCGTGCAAACGGATACTTTCCCGCTGGATACTTACGATTTTCTCGACGGCACGCGGATGCATTACTCTGCCGAGGGTTTCCTAGCGCGAGACAGTTAGTGCGCGTTTTCCGACACTTTCGCCGCGACCAGACGAATCGTAAATCCGTCTACGCGAATCCCTCCTCCTCCGCCGCCTCCTCCTAGAATTAGCAACTTTTTCCTTTCGCGAATTTAAACGCGTCAAGAATGTAACAAGCCTGGTCCCCAATATCTTTACGAGCGATCTCAATGAACGATCGCTTATTAATACTCGCGTTTAATGGGTCACGCGAACATTTAATCGCTGTAATGCTCCATTGTTGGCTTTTCCACGACGGATTTATGGTAGCGAAATTCAGAGTCTTCCAGCTTCAAAATTTCTACGCTCCTGAGAATTACTTCGAGGCGAATTGCTAACGTCTCCACTCTGTGATTTCACTTGAAAGCTTGATTTCGCCAGAATTGAAAATCGATGGTAGGCAAATTTTCGAACTCTATACTGTAGGAGGTGGTCTAATGAACTTTACTGAAATCAGGACGTCGTGCAAAGTAGTTTATTTCGGACTCTTCGGCGTCCGTCTGTTACCGAAGCTAAGAACCGACTCCCGTCGAATGGCAAAGATATCGCTGGGCCGAAGCGATGGGTACTCGGGTCTGGTGTTTGTCACTCGCCAAGAGGCGCAGGCCAAGCCATAAACCGTCCCAAAATGTCTACAATACTTTTCTATAATTTGGAGAATTAAGGAACTGTTTCGTTTATCGTTCTCCAGTCGACGCCATATTATACTTCGGTATAGCCAATTTCACGTGCAAGTTGGCTCGAAGCCAAATTCTTAAAATTGTCTAATTTGCACTTGGTAAATTTGAATAATCTTAAGTTAAAGAAGAAAAGCTTCCTCGACAGTGCCTGTTGCGTTCTCCACTCGCCGCCATGTTTTTCGAGTTGAGAGGTGTCGAATGGGCTCCCGAGTCGATCGATCCTCGTTCGTTAACAATAACACTAGACTGTCTCAAGTTTCTCGTTTTTATCTGGACGAACAGGAGGCTTGGTATCGGCATTAATCAGCGGGGCCCGGTCCTGGAACAGGTTGAAATCGCCGGGGATAAACTAATAAAACACGCGTGTGCGCGGTTACCCGGCCACGGGGATTTTTCAATCGGCGAGAAGAACATACTTTGCCAATCCATTTCTGCCATCTCTTGCAAATTATCACCCCGAGCAGAACGCACGATACGCGCCCCCCGTCGAGAGGAGCGCGCCTCTCTCGGCTTTCCTTTAGCAGAACTCGAACATACTTTTCTTGACACCGTGTGCACGGTGAATGATGCGCCCCGGGAAAAGGGATTCTTTTTTTCATTTCGTTCTCTCTTGGACCGGTATCGGTACACCTGATTAATGCGATCAATGGGTCTGGTTTCAAAGGAAGTCGCGTATGAGCTTTTTTCTTCTCTGCTACATAGTTGCGAGCAATCGTACAATGGAGAATTTTAGTTGTTGAATTGATGAAGATTTGAACAGTGTGAAGCGTGTATCTGTGTAGTTTAATTGAAGGTATCGTGGTGGATTTTAAATGCAGAATTGGGACTTCAATTCTCTTTGGAATGTGGTAATGATATTTCAAGCAAAATATATTTTATTTGTATACTGGTACACTTTATAGAACACTTGAGAAGATTTATGCGTTTAATTTCAGAATGGTTTGCAGCACAATCAGGTAGAATCATACAGTTTTAGACGCTAAGCGGGTACAATTTCCGTCCGCTTAAAAACTACTCTATATAAACCCATTTCACGGTGAAGAAACAGGTGTTTTCCGATTAGCTACGCCACGCTCGCTCCGTTATCATCTCCATCAAACATTTCGGGAAAGAATCGATCGGATCAATCTTCGATTATTCTCACGGCGGGCACTCGTTAAGAATTCATCGTTGCGAAACAGGCTACCTGTGCATTATCCGTAAAACGTGGGCCAAAAATTCAGCATGATTCGGCGAGTCGTAACGGCGGCGAAAATCGGGGAGGTGATTTTTAGCCAGGCTTCGGGTACAAATCACGCCTCTCGGTGACGTATCGCCGCGAAAGCAGCCATTTTGCTCTCATACTTTTTATTTAATAGCCAGCAGGCTATCGTGTATCGCATTAATACGCCAGCCACA